ACACACCTGACAGTTTATCGCTACTTTATTAATTAAACCACCTTTAACCCCAACCCTTAACTTTAACCTTTGACCTTTACCTTTACCTGTAACCCTTCCAGCAGCTGTGACCATTTGAGCTGCTACAAACCACCTTGTTGTTTTTCTCACTAATTCTTCTTCTGGTCTTTTATTCTAAACTTGGACCTTCTGTCCAGCAGCTTCATGTTAAAGTTCGGACGCAGCAGCAGATTCAGACTCAGCGACGTAAACAAACGTGTCACATGACTGACTGCTGAGTCACTGCGGGGGAAAAGTGCTGCGTCATGCTGAGCCACCTTGACTGAACAGTGACAGAACTTTTCGTGAAGCAGAACCCGGACGGTTCTTGGTTCCTGAACCGTCTGCTCACCTGCAGATCCTGGACCGACACCTCCATCCGGGTCAGGTACAGGTACGGAACCCCGGAGCTGGACCCGGGCGGGCCGTCGCTCACCGAGAACACGTTGGAGAACGGCTGCCCGACCACCGGCGGGTGCGTGGACACGGTGGCCATGGAGGCCCAGTCGCAGCGGTGGGCGACGAAGCGGGCCACCCGGGCCACCTGGTCGTGAGGCGGGATCCGGAAGCGTGAGCCGCGGGCCGGGAGGACGGCCAGGGACAGGCCGAGGAGGAGCAGACAGGCAAGCCGCAGAAGAGCGCTCATGGTCGGCCTGAGGGTCGGGAGGAGAGTCGGTGTCTGGACTGGAGGAGAAGTCGCTTCTTCTGCTGCTGCTGGAGGAGGAGGAGTCTGGGCTTGGACGGGGACAGCGCCCCTTCCGACTGGAGCGTCCGGCCGCGGTACTGCAGCCCAATGGGTGGAGGTTCATTATTCATTATAATTATTAACAGGTTCAATCATAGATCATAAAGGCCTTAATTATACTTATCTACGGGTTCAATTATTAGTTAATTATGACAGGTTGATAATTAGAGTTTAATTATTAGAGTTTAAAGTTAAATATTTCCACAAAATTTAACTTCAAATAAAGCTGTATTTGTTCAGGTTAACCCTAACCCTCTGTAGTACTTCCTGATGCTAACCCTAA